GTGTATGGCTCATGCCCATTGGTGGGGCACAGATGCTTTTACATTAGTTTTTCATTTAGATTTTAATAAAATTAATACATTATTTTTATTATTTTTTTTTTATTTACAAAAATAATATTTCTACAACAATTTTTTTTAACAAAATTTTTATTAAAAATTTTTGAAACACCAAACGAGCACATGGTCTATTATAAATTAGCTCAACTGATTATATAGCTGAATTTTTTTTTTTCTAAGGTTTTTGAGCAGGAAACAACATTTCAACACTACATCATGTTACATCCTTATGTAACTAACTGTAATCCTATTGAATAAATTATTTACGGATTCAAAATTCTAGGGAAGCTGGTTATTATTATTTTTGGTTCGACTTCCCTACAAATGTTTCCGCAAGGATATTGGCAACCAAACACACCGATAAAATCCAAACCTTAAAAGAATCCACTTCATTTTTATTTTTATGTTGTCTCTTTCCTTTTTGGACAATCAATTCTTTTGTTCCAATAAAATTGGTTTAAAATATTAATTTTATTTAATTTACTTGTTAAAAAATAAAGAAAACAATTAGTACATATTTTGATCTCACAAATTTTATAATATATTTATTAAAAACATTATTTTTTAAAAAATTTAAATTAAAAATAAAAAAATTATAAATTATAAATTATAATGATTGAATCAAAAATATCATATATAATTATTTATTTACTTTTTATAATTAATTATATACCTAATATAACCAATTGCACTTTTATTATAATCAATTACATTGCACTCAATTTTTTTAGCAGGAAAATTTAATGTGACCTTCCCATATTTTTTTTTTTAAGAAATTACATAGGAAACAACCCTTAATGCAAGTTTCCATCTGAAAATTTCCTACCACGAAAGTAATATATAAAAATGTTGTTTTCTTTTAACCAAAGTCAAGGTTGTCTTGTCTTAAGATTAGGTGCTGACTAACCATTGCCCCTACTTTCACGCGGACTTGAAATCTCTATGGAAATTTATTTGTTTTTATAATTTAAATTATATTAAATTTTAAAATTAAAGTATTGAAATTGACATATAACCTTTAGAAAATACTCTATACAAAAACTTAAAAAAAAAAAAAGGAATGGAGAAAGTAAAGAAAATCCAAATCCAAGAGGACCGTGCCGTGGACCGTAACTCGTAGTCAACACGATATGGAAGTTTCCTTCTAAGAAACTAGTATATACATACAAAGAAGGTTTTATTTTAGTCAAAGTCAAGGTTCTCTGGTCTCAATGTAGAGTAGGTGCTGATTAGCCATTGCCACCAAGAGCAGATGCTGATTGGCCATTACCATCCCTTCACATGTAGGATGGCAACGGGTTCCCACGGAGGTAGGGACCTCCTCTCTATCCCATCCCCACCAATGATGGTACGGGGATCCCCACAAGAATTTTTGGTAGAGGTTCAAAAATAACCTCCATCTCCATCTCCGTGGGGAATGATAGGTCCTCACGGGTATTCAGAGTTCCCGCTAAATAAAACTACCACCTGCTCCATTGCTTGTTAATCAAAATTAAACTCAACATGAGTCTGCTTAGATTCTATTAGTTTCCACATTCATCAAATAAAACTAGCTCAAATAATCATATAAAGTAAAAATTTGAAACAAGACAAATAAGCAGTAAATATACACAGCCAATATATACTTGTCAAGTAAGTCCCTAAGTCAGCAACAAGTTCATAAAGAAAAAAGACATAAATTGCCATATAAGTCCAACAAATCTAGCAAAAGAATCATAAAAAAAAGGCATAAATTGGCACTGTCATCAACAAAGTTCATAGAAAAAAAATGCATAAACTATGGCTGGTTGAGAGATTGGAGAAGAGTTATCGAGTTTGAGTGTGAGTGAGAGATGGGAGAAGATCGACATTGTAGTGGTTGCATAATGGGTAGTGACAATGAGAGCTTGAAGAGAATCACAGATGAGGATTGAGGAGTAAAAATAGAGTTCCAGTGCAGAGCCGTAGAGGAGACTGGATAAAAGGAATTGCAAATCTAAAATTGAGATCTTTGGATAGTCCTTCTAGGGTTACCAATGCAAATTTGGTTGGGCAATTAAGTTTAGGAAGACTAGATTGACAAAAAGAATAGGCTGGACTTGACTAAAAGAATAGGCTGGACTTGACAATTGG